ACAAAAGGTTGCCTCCACGTTTGGGTAGAAACATGGATGAGATCAGAGACACCTATGCTGAAGAAATTCAAGAGGAAAAGCGGTCCAGGGATGCAGCAGAGACTTCGCAGAGCACACCGCAGAGCCATCACCAACCTATCACCGCAGAAGCAGATTCGACACCATCTCCGGGACCCAGCACACAAGGAGGTGGTGCAGTCCCCACCCAAAGCTTCTTTGGGATCACCGTGAGGGACCTCACCCAAGCGTTTGGTGACACTACGGTCAGCAACGACCCCTTGGACGAGTGGCTTCCAGATCATGCTCCGGAAGATGCGACTACTCTACAAGCATTGCTTCATCCAACCGAGATGTGCATCGGCATGGGGGACACAGATGTTCACAGCACAGTCTTGTCCTGGCTAAAAGACATCCACGGAGATACCAGAGATCATCTCCAACTTGCATCAGATTTGTCTCTGGCATCCATCCGCTTGTTTGTGCCAACACCTTTCCGGCTAGCCATCACAACCGTGGCAAAGCGAGAAGGCTGGAACACAGAAGCTTTGTTGGCAGGCATTGTCAGCAACTGTGGCTGGCTAGAAGCACCTGGCACTCGTCTCAGGATCGAACCAACTGAGACCTGGAGCCGAGCTCCCATTACACAAGTGATGCTAGCAGGAGATCCATCTATGCGAAAATCTTCCTTGAAGCAGTTTGTGACCGAAGATCTCCTGAGCTCGCCGGACGTGCCCCCTGAGATACGCAGCCGCAACTGCATCAATGGTGAAGCAACAGTGAAAGGACTCCGCAGCTCCATGCAATCTTACAGCCGCGCCGGATTGGTGAGCGACGAGATTTCGACCACTTACTGCACCGATAAAAAGCAGGGAACCGGAAGCTTGCACTATATCGATGTGAATAAACTTTGTACCTGGTTGAACGGAGAGCCAGACATTGTGGCTACAGGCTCGCCTGCGTGGGCATGAGTGAGATGTATAGGTATCTAAAACAAGTCTCTAAATATTTTTAAATGCATTTATAACAATGGAATTCCAAAACAAACCTCTTTTTTTATGTATACACGCTGCCTATATATCCTGTCCCCCATTTCCACGCATCCGTTTTCAAGTCAAGACACATCTGCAATCACGACAAAAAAAGGAAACACGTCCTTTACCGCGAGAATCCAACCAGCCGAAGGCTCTGGCCAGCTGATCTTGCAGAACTACGCCTTCCAGCACATGATCTGGGGACAAATTCCTCTCGTGGAGCAGGTGCTAGCTCCCAACGCCTCCTTCTTTGCCAAGCGCATCTATGTTGGCTGGCAGGCTGCCTACAGCTGCGGCGCAGCCGGCCCCTGTTTAACAATACCAAACAAAAACCATACTCGGAAAGAGATAGCATTCTATCCAAATGTTGTTCTTGTTCAGACAGATTAGGCGGAGCCGCTGCACTCTCCGCATCCACCGATCCATACACTCTTAATTCGATTACCCTGCCTCGTTGCCAATCAGGTGGTCCCAGTCTTCGCAGATGACGAGCAAAAGGCAGACACATCCAAGGAGTTTCTCAAGGACTTCCATGCTTGGATGGGACGCAACGCGTCTGGGAACATACAATCCAGATCCTTGGATGGCTTTGCCCGAACAGTTTTCCGAGAGGCAGCCAAAGCTATTCAAACATTCCTTTCCGCCACCCACGGCCAAATGCACGAACACTATGAGCAGAAATTGCGCTACTACGACACAGAATGGCTCCGGTTTGCTAGCGCCTGCCAAAGAATGGAAGACTTTTGCCAGTGGAAGCTGCAACGCCAGCAGGACAGCCAGGGTTCACATATCTTCAAATTCTTACAATGACTTTCCGCTGTCGCCCTGCCACTACAGGATGAACGTACACATCCAGAACGGCAGCAACCACAAGATCCAGCAGATGCAGACACAACTCAGGAGACGAGAGTGCATGCATGACGATCATTACATTAAGCAACAAAAAGAAACCAGTGGGAGCAAATCTCTTGTGGATTCTAACATTAAATTTCCAATTTTGCTCAAGAAAACATTAGAATCAAAGTGCGTTGACATATGCTTCTGTATCGCTGTTACGTCTTGCTTCTGAGCGAAGATTTTGCCTACATAGTTACATGGCTTCTTCATTTCTTCCACGCTGATATCCTGCAGGACGCCGCACCAGAACAAGCCGAGCCCATTTCCTTTCTCAGCTTCATTCATGCCCTTCATGCATGGAAGTGCCAGATGGCTCTGTGGGCTGCCTTCTACCGCTCGCGATGTGTCAAAGACAAGGACAAAGACATGAAAGACAAGCCCGACCGCCCAGGAGCTCCTCCCTCCCTGCCTGCTAAAAGAATACGACCCGAAGACGATCGCAAACACAAAAAAGAAACGCCAATCAAAGGACCTCAGAAGGACATCAGCCACCAGAAAAGGAAGGAAAACCACACAATACCAACAAAAAAGGGAAATGAAGGAGAAAAGGGCCAAAGGATAAGAACGGAACA